TCCTGGCCCTAATTTGGAGAGTGTTTGATACTTCCAGGTTTCTGAACCAATTGGGAGGATCAAATTTGTTTTTATTTAGTTTTGTTTTGGGGACTATACCCGGCGAAGCTCAGTGATCACCCCTGGTGGATGGGGTGTCAGAGCTTGAATTCAGGCCAGACACATGAAAAGCAGTGCCTAACAGCTTGAATTCAAGCCAGACACATGAAAAGCAGTGCCCAACCCACTTGCAGTATCTCTCCAGCCCCCCCAAATTCAGGTTTTAGAGTTCTTTGAGATCCTTTGACAGTTGGTTTGTGATAAATAGGAATTTTCTACACAGCTATATTCAAAACAGACCTCATGGACTTATTCTCTGTGACATCTGGCCTACCTCATCTTCCTGACCGGTCCAGTGTCCTGCCACTGCAGGGCTGGGTGGGGAATTAAGGTCGGGGTCTGAAGGAGATGTATGAGACAGACAGAGAGAGAGAGAGAGAGAGAGAGAGAACATTTTGGGAACATATGATTTCTCCACTTACTATTGTTTAAGGATTAATTATGTGTTAAATGTGATTTAATTTAGCTCTTCTACAAGTTTATGATCATAGCAATTGTACTGATAATAGTTACCATGTGTGAAGAGCTAACTCAATGCTATAGTGTTCTATTTATTTTTGTTCTGTTGTTATTTTTGCTCTCCTTTCTTTCTTTCTTTCTTTCTTTCTTTCTTTCTTCCTTTCTTTCTCTCTCTCTTTCTTTTCTTTTTCTTTCTTTTTTTCCTCTCTCTCTTTCTTTTTTTTTTCTTTTTGGGTCACACCTGGCGATGCACAGGGGTTCCTCCCCTGTACCCTTCCTTCCTTCCTTCCTTCCTTCCTTCCTTCCTTCCTTCCTTCCTTCCCCCCTCCCTCCTTGTTCCCCCCCCCCCCTTCCTTTTTCCTCTGTTTTCAATTTTTGTGCTAAGTCCTTTATTATCATTGTTCATTCTGGCTTTCTGGGCCACACCAGCAGTTCTCGATCTTCCGAATGTAACCTGCCCACACGGCAGAGTCTGGCAAACTCCACATGGCGTACCCAATATGCCAAATACTGGTAACAATGATGGGTCTCATTCTCCTAACCCTGAAAAAGAGCCTTGAATGTGGCACTTTTTAAAATCTCAGGGCTAGGACGAAGGAGATGTTACTGGTGCCTGCTCAAGGCAATCAAGGAACAACAGGATAATCGTGATCATGACCAGCAGTTCTCAGGGCTTACTCTGGTGGTGCTTAGGACATTCCATATGCAGTGCTGGGGACTGAACCGGGGTCCATCATGAGGGCAAAGCAAGTGCCTTCATCTTGCACTATCTCGGCCTCTTGAAATGTTACCTCATTTGATCTCTACAAAAGACTTAGAAAGTAGACCTGGTCATACTCTGGATGCAAGGCTTCCGTAAGCGGAGGGAACAGAGCAGAGCAATTAAAAGCCTAGCTGGTAAACAGAGCAGAGCCCCGTCCTCGGTCTTTAGGCTCTGCCGCCTATTCCATAATCTGAGTGAAAGTGTGTTTGTTCTTTTGTGTGCCTCTGGGCAGGGGCCGAACCCAGGGCCCCACACACCCTGCATGTGCTCTACCGCTGAGCCCTAGGCCTGGCCCAGAGCAGGAAAACTGCAGAAAAACTGCTGCCTTTGCTGGGGACACAGCAGGGACACCATGGCCTGACATTCTAGAAGGCGGAGAAGCAGCCCCAAGTTCTCTCAAACAAGTAGAGAGAGCCTGGGGCTGAGGAAGGTCCTCTGAGAAAGAGGGTGGGAGCCCGAGAAGAGGGCAGCTGGGGACAGTGTCTACAGCCCCCCTGGGATCTGCCAGAAGCTCCACACAGGTTCCCCGGGGCACCTGACTGGGGAGTCCTTGGAAACAAGGACTTAATTCACCCCGCAGCTATTCTCGTCTCCCCGACTTCCATTTTGGGCCAACAGATGGAAGTTTCATGCACGGAAAGGGGGAGAGGAGAAGGGAGAAAAGAGCTTAACTTTGCAGATCTTCTTGAAGTGGTATTTAAGGGAAGCACAAGTCAGTCGTACAGAGCACCCCCAGCCATCATCTCTATTATCTGATAAGAAAATACTTTCGCAAGCTGAGCAAAAGATTAACGAGCCCACTTCTTTCCATGGAGCGTACACGGGGGCCCCCCGTCTTATTCATGGAGGGGAGACAGCCGCCCCGCTGCATCTGGGAAGAAACAAAGAGGCCCTCTCCTCGCTGCGGTGGGGCATTTCCCCACCGCCGGGGGAGCCCCCCTTGGAACGAGCGCTGCCGAGATCTTCCCCATCCTCCCCAGTGCGGGGACGTGAGGATGCAGGCTGTGTGGGATTTGCTCTCCTCCTGGGCCCTGCAGGCTGAGGCAGCTGCTCAGGGTGGAGTGGAGGGGTGGGGGCTCCCCCAGAGGCAGCAGCTTGGAGGCCCACCAGTGAAAGGGGCTTTGCCACGGCAGGTCTGTGCGCCAGGAAACATGCAAAGTCCCTCTGCATTTTTTTTTTTTTTTTTTTTGCTTTTTGGGTCACACCCAGCAATGCGCAGGGGTTACTACTGGCTCATGTACTCAGGAATTACTCCTGGCGGTGCTCAGGGGACTATATAGGATGCTGGGAATCAAACCCAGGTCGGCTGGGTGCAAGGCAAACACCCTACCCACTGTGCTATTGCTCCAGTCCCAAAGTCCCTCTGTCTTGACTGTGGCCACCGCCCTGCCCTCCTGTCCTTGTCTCTGCTGCCGACCAGTGAGTGTCCAGCTTCCTTTGACGCCCCTGGACCATGTACCATCCACGGGAGGAGCATGACTTCTTGGGACTCAACCACTGATTCTTTCTATTTCATTTTGGGAGTGTCCACACCTGGTAGTTGTCAGGGCTTCCTCCTGGTCCTGTGCTCAGGAGTCACCCCTGGTGGGGCTCAGGGTCCCTATGGGGTGCGGGAGATCGAACCAGAGTCGACCACCTGCGAGGCAAGTCTTTGTCTCCTGTACTGTCTCACTGGTCTTCTGATCTCGGTCTATGTGATCTCCCTACTGACACGGACTCAGTTCCCTCCTGGCAGGGCCAGGACCGTTAGCTGCATTCCAGGAAGGGGCCTCTCAGACTGCAGGCCCCTGTGGCGCCATGCCATGGAGGTGGGCACCCACCCTCTTCCTCCATCTGGGCTTTGTGCTGGGGTTTGGCCACCTCCCTGCGCCTGGAGACCCTGTCACTAAGGCCATTCTGTCGGATTCTCTTGTATTCCCCTGTCCCTGCAGGGAGAAACGGGTGAGTCGAAGCGAAGACAAACGGCATCTCTCTGAACTCTCTGAATCACCAGCAAAAGCCAGGAGGGGGCCAATGAGTGGCCACGAGATCCGTGGCTGCACCGCTCAGCAGTGGCTGTGTGAGGGATGATGTCAGTGTCAGCCGGGGGTGGGGAGGTGCTGTGATTATTTCAGAAGTGGTATTATTACTAATGCAGGGGCCACTTGAGAACTACTTTAAAAAATTGTTATTATTTTGGTGTGTTTTTGAGTTTCACCTAATTGGTGCTCAGTGGCTACTTTCAGCTCAGCTCACTGCTTGGGGGTTATTCCTAGATGTGCTTGGGGGACACTGTGGTACCAGGGGTCGAACTTAACCTCCTACATCCAAAGCATGTGCTCGGCCCCATGAACCATCTCCCTAGCTCAAAAAACACCTCTTGCTTGTTTGTTTTTTTTTTTTTTGTCTACATCTGGTTGCACTCAGGGTTTACTCCTGGTTCTGTGCTCAGGGATAATTTTTAGTAGTGCTCGGGAGACCATATGGGATGCTGGGAATCAAACCTGGGCCGGTTGCGTACAAGGCAAACGCCCTACCCACTGTGCTATCGCTCCAGGCTCCAGCCCCTTTAAAACATCCTTTTGGGACCAGATAAATAGTAGAGACTAAGGCACGTGCCTTGCATGCAACTGACCCTTTTTCCAGCACCACGTGAACCCAGAGCATTGCCAAAGAGTGATCAATGAGCACAGTGAATCCTTACTCCTTACTAATAAATCGGTTAGGAAAGAGAGCTGGACCCTTACCCCTCAACATGACTAAGAGTGGCTCTGGGTCCCCCAACTCAGCACCACTGGGTGTGGCACCTACAAGAATATAAATGAACAACAAAAAGGAACCCTGTCCTTTGTGCAATGTGGTGAGTTCTACACCCTCCACTCCCAGGCTGCCTCTCCCCCTCGGGTTCCCTTGTGCAGTGGACAGCCTGTGCATCCGTCCTGAGCAGCCCTGCCCCAGGCTGGGAAAGCACTGGACTGGGATCCTGCATTATTGAACCAGTAGCCTGTCGCAGACCAAAGGATTTTCCAGTGGCGATGTGCTCATCTGTCCAGTGAACAGACAGGATGGAACCTGCCGGAGATCGCCTCACAGGAATGCCCGCCGTGAGACCACAGTCATCAGAAGAGGTGACAGCTACAGCTCCGGAAGGGCCAGGAGCCACCTACACGGTGACCTATCAGGAACTGGGAACATCTGGCTAATGAAAGAGTCCACTGGCATTCCCAGAGTCCAGCCAGTGAGCTGATAACCAGCAAACCCAAGACAGCAGGTGCAGCCCACATTATCAGGGGAAATGAGGCTCCCAAATAGTGCTCAGGGGACCCAGCAGTCACTCCCAGTGACACTCAGCCAGCTGGGCCCTTAGGGGTTCAATGCTCAGGGCTCAGAGGCACCAGAGGCCACCCAGGTCGTGTGTGATTGGCCGTGAGCACCAAGGGTCAAACTTGGGGGTCTTTACCCATGCACAGCCCTGACCTCTAAGCTCTCTCCTGTCCCCAAAGCTCTGCTTCTGAGTCTCAATGATCCCGTGTGAACTCGTGTGCCCCGGGGCGGGGAGCAAACGGTGGGGTGAGGGAGCAGGAGAGGGACACACACAAGCATTTCATGCATGGAACGCAGCAGAGCTCTCCTCTCTCTGTGGAGGCGAGCCAGTCCCCGTGCATCTGGGGGTACCCAGCCCTCACCCGCACCCCTGTACCGTTCATTGTTCAGGGCCATTCTTGGAGGGTCCAGGTTGGGGTTCTCCATGGACTCCATCTGCGGGCAGCGCAGGAAGTAGTAGAGCGTGTGCAGGGCGTCGGGGGACCAGGTGATGGGCTGCGGAGGCTGGCGGGCCTGGCGCGCAGGGCTGGAGCCTGGGCACAGGGGCCGGCGGCCCTGCAGGTGGTGCATGGCGCGGGAGACCAGGTCACCTGGAGCGGGAGAAAGGAAAACGCGGTCTGAGTCCCTCCCACAGCCCCGCAAGGCTCCTGCGGCAACAGGGAACCTGCCCGCCGAGCCTGGCCACGGCATAATTACTGTTTTCCCGGGCGGAGGTGGGAGCCGCCACAGCGCGCACAAGAGCCAAGCGGCATCCCTTGGGCTGCCGGTCCCGCCGGCCTGCAGCCCGCGCGCTGGAACGCTTCTTCAGAACTTATGCTAATGTGGTTTCTTTTTCGACATCCTCACTCTCTCCGCCACCCCACGGGCTTCCTGTCCCAGCCTCCCATAACCAGGCTGCACAGGAGGCAGATCCCAAAGTGACCCCCAAAGAGAAGGCCCTGCCCCTTGCCCCCCAGTGCAGGGTGAGTACTCACTGCCCAACTCTGAAGAGGAGCTGAAGGGTTCCTGCCAATACCTGGGGCAGGGTGGGTGAGGGCCAGTGTTATCCACATTTTACCGGTGAAGACATTGAGGTTTATCTAGCATTCCATATTGTGATAGGTGGATTGCATGCCAGATATCCGACAAAAATATTATTGATATCTGTCACTGTCACTGTCGCTGTCCTCCCATTGTTCATCGATTTGCTCTAGCGGGCCCAGTAATGCCTCCATTTTGAGACTTGTTGTTACTGTGTTTGGCATACTGAATACATCACGGTAGCTTGCCAGGCTTTACCGTGCGGGTGAGATGCTCTCGGTAGCTTGCCAGGCTCTCCGAGAGGGGCGGAGGAATCATCTATCCTAATATCATATATCCCCCCTGCCCCAGACTCAACTCTGGGCCTGTTTTTAAATTTTAATTTTTTTCTTTTTGGTTTTGCACCACACCTGGGGTGCTCAGGGCTTATTCTGGCTCTCGACTTACTCCTGGCCCCGGCTGTCAGGGAGAATGTAGCAGCTCGTGAGCTCGAGACCAGAGTCCCCTCTGAAGTTACCTTTTTCATTATTTTTATCTTTGGTGGGGTTTTGGGGACCACAGCAGGCAGTGCTCAGGGCTTACTCCTGACTCTGCTCATGGGTCACTCCTGATGGTGCTTGGAGACCTATGCAGTGCCAGGAATTAAACCCAGGTCGGCTTCATGCAAGCACCATACCTGCTATATTATCTCTCTGGCCACACCCAGCGATGCTCAGGGCTTTGCTCCTAATTCCTCACTCTGGGATCATTCCTGCCAGGGCTTGGGGAACCTTATGGGGTGCCGGAGATGGAACCTGGGGTTGGGCATGTGTAAGGCAAGTGTCTTGCCCACTATACTATCGCTTTGGCCCAGACCCTAGGCCTGTTTGATAGAAGAAGTCGGTGAACTGCTGTGTTACCAGGGCCGTGGCTGCCCTTCAGTCTGTGCTGAAGGTCAGGGGTGGGGTGAGGATGGGTGGTTGGGCAGTTTCCATCCTGGTCAGGGTTTCAAGGCTGCTCAGCGTCGCCCTGGGCCTGCAGGAAGCAGCCCACCATTGTGTGAGGCCACAATGCTGAGACAGGATGGGGAAGCTGCCCCCAGCACCTGCGGCCCTTCTCCTGGGACAAGAGGCGCCTCTTATTCTCCTCGGGCCTGAGAATTCACAGAGTACGTGGGGCAGGAGGGGGTGGGGAGCCTCCATGGAGAGAAAGCCCTTCCCCAGAGAAGCCTCTGAGTGGATTTTTATTTGGTTTTGGTAGTGCTCCAGGCTTCCTCCTGCTTCTGAGCTCAGGAATCACTCAGAATGGGTTCAGGGGACCATATTTGGTGACAGGAATTGAACGTGGTTGGCCTCCTGCAAAGGCAATCACCTTCCCTGCTGGAGCAATGCTCAGGCCAGGGATGTGTGCCCTCAGGGTTTGGTAAGGATCACACCAGTTTTTGAGTGCCTGACATTGCCTGGAGAGCAGCTGTAAGGCTGGTACCCGGACCCCTAGCGCCCTGCATGGCTTCCTGCTCACTAGGTGCTCGGCCAACATCTGGGAGTGCAGAGCTGTTCTTCCCACTCACTCCATTCAAAAAGATGACAGGGCCAGAGAAATAGCACAGTGGATAGGGTGCTAGCCTTGCACGTGGCCAACCCGGGTTCAATCCCCAGCATCCCACAGGGTCCCCCAAGCCCTGGCAGGAATGATTTCTGAGTGCAGAATTAGGAGCAAGCCTTGAGCATCGCCGGGAGAGATAATAATGTAGCAGGTATGGTGCTTGTACGCGGCCGACTGGGGTTCGATTCCCAGCATCCCCTATGGTCCCCTAAGCACCGCCAGGAGTATTTCCTGAGTGCAGAGCCAGGAGTAAACCCTGAGCACTGCCAGCAGTGGTCTCTCAAAACCCCACCAAAGATAAAAATGATGAAAAAGGTAGATTCAGAGGGGGCTCTGGTCTTGAGCTCACGAGCTGCCACATTCTCCCTGACAGCCGGGGCCACGGGGTTTAAAGAGCATCAGGACGTTCCCACCAGCTGGCTCCTTCCCTCTTTCTAAAGCTGGGCTCTGCTCAGTCCTGCAGCAGTCACCCAGCTCCTTAGGTGTCCCCTGGTGTACCCCCAGGGACCAGGAGGCCTGAAGACAATGAGACACTGCCCCACCCCCATGGCCCCAATTCTGATTAATGAACATCTGTGGTGCCAGGGATCAAAGTCAGGACCTCACACATGCTCAATCACTGAGCTGAGTTCCGTTTCTGGCCCACGGCTCTGATTAAATGGATCTGGGGCTGCACCTAGGTATCTTTTTTTTTTTTTTTTTGCTTTTCTGGTCACTCTCAGCGATACACAGGGGTTACTCCTGACTCTGCACTCAGGAATTACTCCTGGCGGTGCTTGGGGGACCATATGGGATGCTGGAAATAGAACCCGGGTCGTCTGCGTGCAAGGCAGACGCCCTACCTGCTGTGCTACCACTCCAGCTCCTGGCATCTGTATTTTGGAAACGTCAGCTGATGTTGGTTCAGGTTTGAGACTCCCAAGAAAATGGCTCAGAGCCCCGAGTCCACAGCCTGAAACCCCCGCCTTCAAATCAACAGGTTCTGCTCCTTCTAACCCTGGGCCTTCTGTAAGTCACTGCCCAGAGCCTCAAGTGCCACATCTGGGCGAGGGCAATAACCCTCTGGAACGCATTCAACTCGGGCTACCACGGTTCCTCTCTCCTACAGCCCCCACGCCCCACCCCCCGCCCACCCAGTGCTGCTCTTCCTGTCGGGGACATTACCCCACGTTTCGCTGGAAGGACACAGTCTGGGTCCCGAAACACCTGCTCCCAGCCCTGCCCTCAAGCCACTGGGTGGTAGAAACCAGCCTCCACACCGCCCAGGCCGCCGCCTGCCTCCGTTCACTTGCTGTGCAACTCTGAGGGCCTCCAGGAGTTGAAACCCGGCTCCTGCTCCCCGCTGTCCAAGTGTCATAACTTTTGGCAGAGCCATGGGACCACAAGGAGGAGAATTCAGAGAGGCAGAGATAGCATCAGAGAGAAATCCTGTTGAAATCTCATTTCAAAGGCTCAACAAGGTAGAAGCCATTATCGTTAATTAAGTTTATGATGGTTTTATTGTTCTTGGTGTAGAAGCCTTTGGCAGCACATTCCCAGCCCGAATGCAGGAAAGGAACCTCCAGAAAGAAAAGGAAGGTGGGCCTGGGAGCAGCTCTGTGATAGAGCACTGGGCTGGCATGTGCGGAGCCCTGGGTGAGATCCTGGCTCTGCACAGCCCACCCACAACCCCCAGGAGCAGCCATTGAGCACCATGGGTGCCGCCTCTGAGCAAGAAGCAGTGAGAGGGGCCGGAGCAATAGTACAGCAGGTAAGGCACGCGGCCTTGCATGCGGCCTTCCTGGTTGAATCCTCAGCACCCCAGAGGGTCCCCTGAACCCGTCCAGGAATTATTCCTGAGTGCAGAACCAGGAGTTACCCCTGAGTATAGCCAGGTATGGTGCAAAAACAAAAACAATAATAATAATAATGATAAAGCAGAGAATGGAGGGCTGGAGAGATAGTTCAGCAGGTAGAGTGCTTGCCTTGCACACAGCTGACCCGGGCTCGATCCCTGAGTGGAGAGCCAGGAGGAAGCCCTGAGCACCACCAGTGCTGTGGCCCCAAAACAAACACACAAAAAGCAGTGATGGAGGAATCTCTTCTGGGTTCCTACGCAAGAAAAACCAGGAGCAGAGTGTGGCCCCATCAAAGGTCAGAGACGCTGCAGGGGCAGCCTGACATTCTTCTCTCTGCACACAGCTGCGCCCTGTCTATCAGTCTCTCTTAAGGACCAAAAGGACAGACAGAGAGACCTGCAGACAGCTCGGACCAGCCCGTCGATGCGGTCAGGACTCTGCAGGGCTCTGCGGCGCTCACCAAGGATCGCAGCAAGCCGCTTTCTTGGGCAGGTCTCCAAGGGTAGATGTTCTCCCTGCCACCACCCTAGATCATCTCAGCTTTGTGACAGACATGGAAAAAGAGGAAGATTGCATTTCATCTTTACAGTCCACCTGGAAGGGAAGGGGGCGGCAGTTCTGTCTTACAGAGAGAAAACAGGCTCACAGAAGTGGAAGGATTTGGTTATTCCAGTTGTACAAGTGTCAGCCAGGAGGGCTTGAGGAGGGCTTAAGGGGGACCCCTGTGTCCTAGGCGCCTGACCACTGGGCCTCCGCTGCTGGGCGTGGGGCCTTCAACAGGAACAGGACAGGACAGACCACCCCCCACCCCCCACCCCCCGCCTTCACAGGTTCATCCCAGAGCACAGAGAGCTGTAAACAGCACTTCTGAGAGCGAAAGCACTTCCAGTCTAGTAATAATAAACAAGTGGCTTGCGTCTCGCATGTCAGTGGTTTTATTTCTCTAGATAGTCTTGTTTTTGTCTTGCTTGGGGGTTGACCTCAGCAGTGCTCAGGGGCTACTCTCAGCAGCTGCTCAGGGGACCGAACCCAAGTTTCTTACATGCAGAGCCTGCCCTCAGTTTGTTGAGGTATCTCTCTAGTCCCTCAACACTTTGGGTCACACTGACGGTGCTCAGGGGATCCTATGTGGCCAGGGACGGAACCCG